CACTGAGGAGCTGACGGTATCGACAGAGTTCCGGAAAGGCTGCAGGTTAATTGCTATGGCGTTGGCAACCTAGTGCAGTCACTGCAAAAAGAAATTGTTTTATTTTTTTTTATCTATTCTGTGATTTTCAGGTAAAACATAGGGGCACTGCGAGAAACCCATGATAGCAGTAGTTGCTGGTCTAGTATCTTATTCGTCTGTGTTGTGCCACTGTTATGAATGTCATAGATTTGATACTTTACTGTTAATGTCTATTACGTGAAAGGAGCATATAATGAGATCTGCAGAGAACTGTAGCCAAGGAACATAGAGCCTAACTGTGATTAAATACTCCTGAAATTTCCTAGTATTAGGATGCAGGGAAAATTCCCTGTGTGCAGTTAGTTAAATGCATGGGTGGCATATTTTAAAATGTTTACGTCAATTTAACTCATTTTAATACTACGAAATGCAGAGGTGAAATTAGTGTAATATGTCTAATTAGCATTTAATTCCAAAATTGCATGGAGACGTACATTGGCTGTAATAAGACATTTGTTTATGGAATTACATTTACCAAAAAGAATCCTGCAGAGACTCTCCAAGACATACCTGTAGTACAGTGTAAATCATTGCATGTTTTTTAAGGAAAAGGTGATTTCAGAGAATACCTGGCAGACGTGATTTCTAGACTGGTTGAGTCTTGATATAACATATGTTGAGATTAATGGCCAATCCGGGGGCTATGAATCTTCCTGTTTTAACATCCCATGGGTTTGCTGATTACTCTGGATGGACAGTAAAATGTATATTTTATCTACATTGATAATGCTGCACTCATAGTCATTGTGGCAAAACTTATTGGAATAGAAGGGAACATTTTTTTGGCAAAATGAGAGCCGCATGCTTGTGCTGCCAAGGCGCGTCCGCAGTGTCCTCAGGCTAAAACCTCATCATCTTCCTGTAGGGTTTTCTCCATAAGGAAGCCAAGAAAGATGATGCTCACAGATGTCTAATGCATTTCTATACATCGAAATAATAGGATGGCTTAAAGTTATCAAGTTTTAAGCTTTGGGGTAAAAGACCTAGGAAGATCTACTTGTGAATGGGTTGATGAATCAGAGTAGTAAGTGTCTTATTAGGGAAATCATAATCTTTGTTATACCACTTTGCTAAACAAATCCTGTATGATAGATGGAAATAACACAATATGCAAGAATCTCAGTGAAATTTCATACTTTCTGCATCTAATTTTCATACATGTAGATAATCCCAATTTATAAATAAAGGGCTCTTCCCTCTTTTGCCAACATAAAGAGTTTATGTCTGTTTAAAACTGTGCTTTGTCTGAAAGACATATTCACATATTTAGATGATGGCATTTACTTGGCTCTGAGTTGTCCTAATGCTACACGGATGGAATATTTCACCAAGAGACCTACCAATGCCTTTCTATCAGAACATGTCTTTATAGACCAAAGAAGTGGAGGATTCTGGAAAGAATATTACAGATTCTTTTTGGTGCCAGTTTCCTGACTGTCTTCCCACAAGCTCTACAATGACTACACAGAATCCCCAAATGGAACAGCCTCCCCCACCGGAATGGAGTCCGTACATGATGAAATGCCATTGAAATGAATCAGCAGATGAGCAAACCAACCATAAGTTGTGAATGGCATCATGAATGAAGGTTGTGTGAATATGCCATGCCTTTTAGATGATCTGTGGAGTTTTATTGTATAAAAGATGTTAATTAAATAATGTACAAGATTTGTAATTGATTTATTGTACATGTATTCATATTGGTGTTGTCATGGTAATAGATGAAGTATGACATTTTCAAGTTGCTGCCATGTGAGGTTTATAAATATTAGAGGGATGTTGCATATGTTTGTGATTGAAGATGAAGACAACTCCAAGCTTTGGGTTTGACCTCAGATCAGTTTGTGACATGGAGACTAAATGTATATGTGGAAAATACCTTCCGGCATGCTGAATTTGAATTTTAATTATACCTTCAGCTTTCCAAATTAAATTATGTAGCATTAATAATAACTGGAAGCAGAATTAAATGGTGTGACATTCTGGGAGATTCTCATTTTTGAAAGATACGAAAGCTACTAACACAATGCAAATTTCATTTAAGTTACCACCACTTTAAAGCTTTTGGCAACAAAATTTATGGTTTTTCTTTATATCTTCTTTAGCAAATTAATATTTCACTATTTTGTGTATTCATTTTCAGTTTAAATCACAGAAAACATTTTTGGTGTGCATATTTTTGCATCATCTAAGAAGGGATCTATGCCGATTTGCTGTCCTTTTGCCCCTTTCAGTTTAAATTCATTTTTAAAATTCAGCCAATTAAATATTCTCGTTAGTGTGATAACTTTTTAGCAGATCTTTTCCAAAATCTGCAGACACCTTACATGGGTGATCTGAAATTCATAAAATTTTGAGACAAATCACACCAAAATTGATGCAGCAGTTCTAGGTGGCAGCAAAGGAAGGAGGGAGCAGCTGCAGAAGACATTATCTTAATCTTGTAGATACAGTCACTCTTAAAGTATTTGATGGGTCTTTTTCAAACTTTCATTGAGCTTTGTATAGCTAATGATCTGGGGCCTATTCCATATTGAGACAAATAGCAGCAAAACTGAAGCAGTATAATTTATTGGTGACACATGAAAGGACAGTCACACATGCACATTTGGTTAATCTGATCACACTGAGAGTAGTCACGCAAAGTCGGGCTTTTTATAAAGATTTTTGTAGTGGTGAGGAGAGTGTATGGGGGGCTAGAGATAGTAGAGGTTGGGGGTGTGGGAGGAATAGGGTGAGATTGGGGGAAGGTGACAGGGCCATCTGGGGAATACGTAGCTGTCATGTTTTTATTAGAGTTTGTAGTAGCAGTTGTTTAATATTTTACTGTGAATATCATAACATTGACACCCACTGGTGTTGGAAGGAGTTTGACATTGGGGGGGGGGCTAATTTGGGAGGCAAGGGAGCGGGGATGTGGACACACATGCAGTTGTCACATCATGAAAGGATGCAATGTTAGAAAGATTTAAAAATGCAAGCGGTGGAGGCTTAATGGTTAGGGAAGCGCACTTTCGAATCCCAGACCAACAAGGCACCACTGAGGTACTCTGAGCAAGGTACTGGTCCCCAGGGGCTGAATTAGCTGCCCCCTGCTATGTCACGCACATATGTTAAATACAGAGGACACATTTTGTTGTTGTGTTCTGTGGTGTGTCAACACTGATCACTAAATTCTAATTCTAAAAATAATCTTTGAATCATAAAGATACAGTATCATGTATCATCGCCCTGTTTAAGGTCCAAAAAACCAACTGATCCATATGATAAAATGATTTTGCCTGATACATGGCATCTATCTATCTATCTATCTATCTATCTATCTATCTATCTATTAATTGGGAAGGAGATGGGGTGGTCTGCCAATATTAGGGGTCCCACCCCCCATTTCCGACACCCCACTTTATCGGATTTGTGGCACTTTGTCTAAGTGTTAGGCATGTATGACGCTGTCTTACTAAGCTCCTTAGTACCTCTGTGTGGAGTCAGCTTGTTTTTGAAGCAGAGTACATTGACCTTGGGGTACACTGAGGTGGGACAATGTCGCTTCTGAAGGCTGGTGACTCAGGTGTACAGAGTAGTTAAATTGTACTTCTCACCCATAGGTGAACGTTGAGGACATTGCTGTTAAAGATCACGGCCCAATTTCATTGACACAGCCGATATTCACCTGCCAAATGCAATCGGCTAAGTGAAGAAATTAACATTAAGAATTGGGAATAGACAAAACACTATACTTGGACAATGTCCACATATTCAACAATTGTTTATCACTTCATCACTCTTCATTATTAAAATAACTGTAGTACAAATATCAGAAATTAAAATAAATGCGAGTATGAAGTTTTTAATACATGCGTATAGAAAATCCTGCATCTAATCCTTGTACTTTTATTTTAGTATTTGTGGTAAAATATGGATTTTTTTTTTTTATACCAAAGATCAACATTATATATCAGCTTTCATGAAGCATAAAATAATTGGTAAGTATGTAAGTATGTAAGTATGTCCCCCCTGTTCAGCCATTCCTTCACTCCCGATCGTTTTTCTCGATTTTCATTGTGGCTTGGCCTTTGACTGAGCCTCTCCGGAGTGTTGACTTTCCTGTCTTTAAAGCCACTGTGCGTTTTTGACTCTGTTCTGCTGTAAGCTGAGTCGACTCTGAGGTCCTTTGCAGACTGCGGTATGTTCTCTTCCTGGATATATGTGGAATTTTCTGCATCCATTGTGATTGATCTCACCATCTCTTCCAGGCATTGACTTGAAGAATCCTCCCAGCTGAACTAGGCTGCCATTGCAATACTTAGGCTTAGTTGCCGAGAGCAAAAACACAGTCCATTTTTGTCTTGCCTGGCCAACAGATCTGCTTACTTTCTAAACCTTCCAAATGCCCTCTGGTGAAGTGCAGGCGAGATCTGATATGAGTCCTAGCCCTCTCCCATGAAGCTTAGCCCGTTCTCCCACTTCAGCTGTGGTGAAATGTACTTGTTGTGGCATTTTGGCACCCTTAAGTAATGTCCTGCTTGCATGGATGGTCAGTTTTTTGTCATCTTGTGTCAGTGAAACTTAACACCTTTTCGCAGCCTTTCTATGACAGGCAGATTTTGGTGATCGTGTCTCGTTTGCCTTGTCATTTCTTTAATTCTTTTAATGAGATACAACTAACCATGGCCTCTTTTGATGTGTTTTTGTGTTATTCTATGTTAATATAAAAGGTCACGTGTTGATCAGCAAGAGGTGGATCCCTTTTATAGCTACTGTGTAGAATAGCAGAAATAAATCAGCATGTATAGGAATGTATTCTGCTTTCATCTACATTCATGATCTGTTTAGGGATTGTTAACTTGGTGACCTGTTCTAACCTGTCCTCTGACCTGTAAACCTGCAGATGGTTAAGTGATAATTCTTCTCCCCCCCAGGCACCACGAGACAGCCCAAGGAAGGGGAGGTTCCAGGGGTAGACTACAACTTTGTAACTGTTGATCGGTTTATGGAATTGGAGAGTAGTGGAGCTTTGTTAGAGAGTGGAACATATGAAGGTAAGGTAACAATACCTTTTTTTTTTAAAAAAAATAAATAAATTTTAATTTATAGTGGAAACAAAACTTGCATTTTCCCCAAAGATATTTTAGACCAATTTTTGTCAGGTGTCGCTATCATCTTTGCATGAAACATAATGATTAATTAACATTTTTGCAATTTCTATTATATCTTTATTACCAAATGTATTTTTCTTTGATTTTCCAAGTGGTAATTCTTTGGTATTATTTTCATCCAATAATTGTTCATGCCTTATCTGGTACAGGGTCAAAGTTTCAGGAGTCCATCACAGGACAAAAATCACACTTTAGGGGTGTCTGCATGTTTTTGAACTGTGGGAGTTAACCAGAACACAGACATGTGTAAAGGGATTTGAACCCACAACCACGGAAGTGTGAGGCTACGATGTTACCCAATATACCATTGTACTGTTTCTGCTCGGAATGTATAAATGGAGTTTCATCGACATGTTGGTGTGGTCTAATACTGTTATTATGATGGTTCTGTTTAGTTCGTTTTTTCTGGAATAATGAATCTAGACTAGCTGGATTTTCACAGTCAAATTACTAGATCCATGGTAAACAATCTGTGTAGGCTTCAGTGGGAGCCCTGATTGGCTTACAGGTCCAAACACACTGAAGCAGATGAGCACACTGATAGATGTTTGACAGATAGTAAATGTTACCCCCATGGATATGTATAGTGTATAAGGTAAGCGACATCTGTTCATTAGTTCACTCTTTAGTATAATGCATTTTCCTAATCAAGTTGTCAAAAACCATTTTGTTGATTTCCCAGAGGAAATTAAATACAAAAAATGGTTTCCCTTTGAATTATTAAGGAAGGAGATTGATAATTCTGGAAAATAAACCATAGTTATATATGAGAATAATATCACCAAATTGAAAAATAATGCGGGTTCATATGCCATTTTTGCAATGCAGTTACGTTTCAGGAAGATTCTCACTGAAAGCGAATGAGCGGTAGTTTCCTAAATGCGAACTGACCCAAACAGGAGTGGTAAATAGCGGACTGGTGTCTGTATAATGTCCATCTCTCTCTGGCTTATGCACTATTTCAGCAAATGTGATGCTCATTAGCTCAGTTAGACCACCTGCTTTGATCTGCAAGTGCCAATTTTCACTCCATTGCCATAAATATGAGTGCGCAAGGTTACAAGAAAATGTCTAAGAAGCCTGATGGTGAAATTTGAGCTGTTTAACTCAAATGAAAAGCTTTAGCTTTCAAGGAAAAGCTTTATCTTATAAATCATTTAGAATACGATGAATGTAATGGTTCATGCTTTAGTTATGTTTTAAGTGGTCTGCCCCCACCCTATATTATCCATAAGCGAGGTTTTACAGGAGCACATTTGCTGTGTTATAGCAGAAACGTCTGTACATTAGAGAAATTCTGCTGTAATTTTTAAGTGTCTACTCAGTATTCTACAGTGGTGTTTTTTTTTCTCTTAGTAATATTTTTTTCTGACGTTTATGACAGTAAAAAATAACTTGGCAGACATTTCACAGTGATCCCATTGCACGAGTACATTTCCGCACGCAGTGATGAAGAGATTACCTAATTCCATGTTTTTAAATAACATTCGCTATGTTCACTCCTGATGAGTGTGCATCTCTAATATAGATATTCATAGGAAGTACAAATAACTTGGCAAACATTAATAGAAAGCTCTAAAGCAATTTATAATGAAAAAGGACAGAAGCTGTGCTGCCTGTGCTTAAGTAAGCCGCTTGTACGCGGAGTTCAAGAACAAGTGTTTCTGTGTAGATAATTGGTACACGCTGTGTATATTCATGCTAATGCTGCTAAGCACACAAACACCCGATTTGTGTGGTGACTTTATAGATAACTACTACGGCACCCCCAAGCCCCCAGCAGAACCCACACCATTGCTGCTTAATGTAACGGACCAGATTCTGCCCGGAGCCCGACCCAGTTCTGAGGGGAAGAGGAAACGTAACAAGTCAGTGAGCAACATGGAAAAGGTCAGCATCGAGCCCCTTGAGGAGGAGGAAGAAGAGGAAGAGGAGGAGAGGCCTGTTGTCAATGGCAACAGTGTCGCCATCACTCCAGGTTAGGCAACAGCAGGGCATTTAAAAAAAAAAAAAATGGTGATTCTACAGCATTGTCATGTCCGAGCCACAGAAAGAGGATCAATATAGAGGATTTTACACTGTCACACTATTACAGGCAGGAAGTAGCATCCAATATTTTTTCAGTTTATTATTTTTTACCCTATTATTAGTAATATTTTAAGAATTGACTGATGCCTTCCTTGATATTGTTTTTTTACTCTCAATGTTTATGTTTTGCCAGTAGTACTTGTCGAAAACCATTTTGCGTCATGGGTACAGGGTTGGACCCATTTCTCTGCATAGTCTGCAGTCTCGCAGAGCGGAGTATAGTATGTGTTACGTCTCTGCTGGGAATGAACAGCCAGCCCTTGGCGGTGTCTGCAGCTGTTACGTTCTATCACGGCTACAAAAAAATAAAAATATATGCAATTTACCGATATGCCAGTTCTGCCATTTAGAGAGTAAATCAGATCAGTATTGTGAAGCCTTACTGTACTAGAGATGCACCGATCCGATATTTGTATTGGTATATATATATATAATCCCTCCGGCGAGTCCTGGGTCTGCCCCGGGGCCTCCTCCCTGTAGGACATGCACGGAAAACCTCTCTGGGTAGCCGCCCAGGAGGCATCCGCAACAGGTGTCCAAACCACCTCAACTGGCTCCTTTCGACATGAAGAAGCAGCGGTTCTACTTTGAGGCCCTCCCGGATATCCGAACTTCTCACCCTATCCCTAAGGGAGAACCCTGCAGAGAAATCTCATTTCGGTCACCTGTATTCGCGATCTCATTCTTTCGGTCATTACCCATAGCTCATGACCATAGGTGAGGGTAGGGACGAAGATGGACCAATAAATCAAGAGCTTTGCTTTTCGGCTCAGTTCTTTCTTAGCCACGACGAACTGGTTAAACGCCTGCAAAATTGTAGACGTCGCTCCGATTCGTCTATCAAGCTCCAGATCTCGCCTACCCTCACTCGTGAACAAGACCCCGAGATACTTGAACATCTCCACTTGAGGCAGTACGTCTTCCCTGACCTGAAGAGGGCAATCCACCCGTTTCCGGCTGAGAACCATGGTCTCGGACTTGGAGGTGCTAATCCTCTTCCCTGCTGCTTCGCACTCGGCTGCAAACCGCACCAGAGCACGCTGGAGATCCCCAGCAGATGAAGCCAACAGGACGACATTGTCTGCAAAAAGCAGCAAGGCAATCCTGAGGCCACCAAACTGGACACCCTCAACACCCTGGCTGCGCTTAGAAATCCTGTCCATAAATATTATAAACAGGACCGATGACAAAGGGCAGCCCTGGCGGAGCCCAACCCGCACCGGGAACACGTC